ATTTGCAGTAGTTAGAATAAATATATATTTTTCATGTCACCAGCACATAACACGTAGTGGGGTACAGGCTGCAGGATCGGTCACACTGCTGATGTATAATAACATCGATCTAATAATGGTGAGGACGTAGGTAAAGCGCGGTGTTTACTCCGCATTCAGCAGCCATATGTACCATTTTCTCGGCCACGTACATAGAGGCAAAAACACTTACAAGTGGCTGTTACTAAAACGATATATTATTATTGTGCTGCCGATGAGGTCTAATCGTTTGCATTGAATGATGAACATTTTGACGAATGTCCGTCTTTAAAACCTTACAGCCGATAAAAGAAACTTAATTATCTTACCAAACGGGCTCTCTCTTGTGCGTGAGCGTTTGATCTATAAAAACACAGTGTCGATGAGAATGGACTCACCTAAGTTTCAGTAAATTACTGTTTTCTCTGTTTTGTATCGCCTTATCCTGGCGTCCGCCACAAACAGATACATCTATCAGCGATATGATCTTGTAGCTGTGATAAAAAGAAAATTTAACCAAGTCCTATACATTACAGACATAATCGTTGTTGTTAGTCGTTGCCGCTACAATTACCATTTTACTGGCAGTCCCGTATCTTCGCTGGTCAGGCCATTGTAAGAAGTAGATTCATATTAACATAGGCTTATTTGTAGCTCAACACTAGGCCAACCCTAGAACGACATAAAGTCTTCGAAACGCCCATGGCGCTTGACGTTCTGATGCACTTCCCGAAAGTGTCGATAAAGGATCCCACGCTGCGCGAATGCCCTCCCGCACGCGCCACATTCGAACGGCTTCTCGCCTGTGTGCCTCCGAACATGTGTTTCCATACTGCCCTTTACCGCTGTGCTGTAGTGACACATCGTGCATCGATAGACCCGACGTTGCTCCGAATGCAGGTCGGGATTCTCTTCAATGGCTACGGGGAAATTGATATCTCGCGGAGGCCTGCCACGCCGTGTCAGCAAATAACTACCTGTGAGGGGACGCCGACGTCAAGGCAAGCAAACGAGATACACACAGAGCGCGAATACCGCAAAAGGAACAAATTGATAGATGCTATCTTTGATCAATAAATGTGCTAACTATCAGTTGAAAATCGTAGGGGTAGTTTTCTTTCGACATGCAGACTTACCTACAATGTTTGGACAAGCGAGTAATAAAGATTACTTAAAAATTGTTGGATCATGTCTTCGCATTGTATTACGCGCTATTAGGTCCGCGCCCTCGATTAGCTTTACCTGCGAATTTGTAGGGAGTTTAGTATTGAAGGGATAGGGATCGTCTTGCCGGCGCACTTATATAGTTATATATAGACAGTGGGACAGAATGTGGGATTCTGGATTGGATTAACTAAATAAAAAGTAAAGCTAAAACAGTAGGTTGTCCGGAGAAGCTCGGAAAATCTGAATGACTCGTAAATCATATATGGCAATTTTCATTACTATTCATCAATTAATGAATATGAAGGATGATGTATAGTAAATTCTCATTACACCTTGTTTCAGAGGGCAGGATACACTACGCCGCCAAACACGTTCTTTAAGGCATCCAAGCTATTGAAATTATGAGAATTTCAATACAAAGGCTTTCCATTTTTTCGAGGCGATCTTTTTCAGCCAGTACTTTTCTGTTAAACCCGACAAACTAACTCATGTCTTATTTGTGGCAACGGTGTGCTTCAGGCGCGTGTGTCGCTGGTAAAAGTTGTCCCTATAACACAGTGCATTTGTGTTCTTTTAGAAAATGCCTCTTCACTGTTTCCATTAGGATTTTATAATAACTGTTTTGACGAGTGTCTAATTTAGCTGACGCTCAAAATCTTCCGTGATTGCAGTAACTCGATTTTTCATTAAGGTCCGTAGGTATCGCCATTATTTCTGTGGTCCTTCATGAGATGACTGCACCAGTCGCTAACTGTTATCTCGCTGAGCTTCTTCTTCACCAGTATTTTATGCCACCCTTACTATCGAAAAATAGAACCTTAACAGGTTAACTTAAACGATATTTTTACCTATGTATTCTCTAATAATACTCTATCGATTTGTAGTCGTAGATATAATTTGATCATGACTGTAATAACAAATAGCAAAAGAACTCAAAAGCTATGGTGTGAACCTGTACCGAATTTCGTCTGCTAATTCTGCATTGTTGACAAATTGTCGAGGTTTTCGAATTTGTTAGGTGTATAATAACAATAGCAGTGTAATAAACTTGTATGTATACAGGTACCCTTATAATAGGAAAGCACCGTAGTAGTGCAGCGTAAACGAATTTGTAACAGTTATAATTTATTAATAAGGTCAATATGGCTTGTTGTCACATGTTTATTTCATCAGCTTGGTTAGATCCTGTTGGAAGTCAACGTTCCTGTGCGGGAAACGCGCCAAGTCACCTGCAAGTAAACTATCTCTTATTAGCTACAGTTCAATATCACTCAACAATCATCTTTATACGTTTAGGCACGACAAGAGAACACAGTTTTGTTTTCGTCAAAAAGGCACGCTTAATTCACTTTATTTAATATTATCAATAGTGTTATCTTATATACTAATGAAACACATAATTGCTATACGGAATATGTGTTATGAAGACTATAGGGTATATAAGAAGACAGCTAGCTATAGCTGGTCGTGCCGCTTGACTAGTTTGCTCGTTATAATATTTCATAAATCCTACTTTTCATCATACAGAATATATAGTGTCCCAGTGTAACTAACAGCACGTACGTCTTCAATTTATATGATATTGGTAAATTTCGCGTACGGTACCTCGACCTCAACTAACAACTTCGATCGAAATTATACTTAATGCCGTTCTGCATGATTATAAGTTGATAATTCCTTATGGAACAAGTGCATATCATCACAGACATCCAATACGCCTGCTGTGGATTCCTGTTTTTGTGATAACCACTCCAGCGGTTCGATTTCCAATTGGGACAATATCGAAACATTCGACGACAGAGGCAAAAAAGCTAGCACTAATTGTAGCAACGTAGCTTATGTTATCTTTTACATTTTCTTGCCGATTGTTACCTTTTGGATTACACGGTAGGGAATGAATATGGTTAGGCACGTATTGGCGATCGCCGTTCACATCAGTACTGAACCTAGATGTTGCCATGGCAACAGACTCCGCCGTGAATGACTGCCTGTACGGTTTTGCCAAATTTCAAAGGTTATTTTGAGTATTATTGAGATAAATATATATATGTGTATATCGAGATGGTAACTAAATGCACAGTAAGTAGTATCACATTATGTGCAGATATATATAATAATAACACATAAAGTTACCTGTGTAATGAAATCGTACACGAATGTAGATATCAAAGGGACTATCATGGTTATATACACATGAGTAAGCGTCAACACAGACATAAATATCACAAATATACACATTGATCTTTAAGCACTAGGTACGTAATACGTTTGCGGTTGGGAAACAGGTAGGATAACAGTCGTACAAATATGAAGAATACTCATCCGTATACGAATGTCTTCCGCTCAGATGCTTCCTTTCATAGTATATAGCCAGGTTCAACGGACCCTAATCGTAAACCTATATTCAATTCCTCTAAACCAACCCCATTTAGTGATGCGTACACGTTTAGTAATAAATGTATGGCATACCCAAACTACCCATTACTACGAGCTAGCTCATTAAATCATCGTCGGTTATTCTTCTCGATACGGTTAAGCATGTATTGTAACGCTGGCGTATTTACAATGCGATATTTTGTTCATGTGTGTCTAATTCGTGAATTTGGTCTGACGAAAATCGACGGAACTGGGTTATGTCAAATGGCTGTTAGTAGCTATAGATGCGACGGTAACCCAAAATAGACAGAATGTTCGAATTCTCGGTGAGAAATGGCACTTTCTGAAACATATGTTCGGTGGACCTTTGACTCCTTACGATTTGCAGAAGTAAATCGATGAAAAAACGTTGCAGTTTTTAATCTGCTGCCGCGGTCGGCTCGTGCTGCGTAATGCTCAAAGCATCGACTGTTTTTGGCACAGAGTTTTGTGAAAGATACTATTCAAAAAGCTAGGTTCAAATGAATCGGGACGTTCACTTTTGTTGACTCATACGACATGAGACGGCATAGATCAATGCAAAGTTAATCAGATATCTGCATAATATGCACGTAACAAGACAGAAAACACATTCACGAAGACGCACGAGAGGCACTAGTATCTAGTAGCAGTAGTAGTAAGGTCAGGCCTAGTAAAGGAACCGTTGATTCTTTTAACGTAAAAAGCTGTTTTACGATCTACTGGTAATTTGTTATTAAGGATATTAGGTAAATGCGTCATTCGGCTAAAAACTATTTGATATTTTTATGAGTTTCGTAGCTCTAAACATTACATAGAGCTTGTGTATTGCACTGTGACGGTAAACAAGTAGCAACATTTATACTATTCGTAATGCAACGTAATTCTTTAATTAAATTGAGAATAGAATTGTATGTAGGAGGCCGTTCGTAAAACTGTGTGGGTAAAAGCAATGTATGTCCCTGAGATTGATGCTACAAGTGAAAAATAAATTGTAAATATTACACTTTATACAAAAAAACGATCACACTTTGCATCAACCAGCAACGATCAATTCTATAACTGCAATTCACTGGACTCTCTTACCTACTCTGAAGGCCCCAGTGATTGTTATATGGCCGGCCAGCGAGTTTCGTGGCCAAAATCGAATCAATTCTGCCATCGGGCACTTCAATGACCATTTTGGCATAGACACATTTGACACTTCTGAACGAGTCCTGGACGACGATGCTAAGCCGGAGAGAATAATACCGTCAGAGTCGATCAGTAAAAAACTGTCGAGATCAAATGTTTTTTCTCAAATAGACCAGACCAGGCCACCTAATCGCCTGTAAAAATTTCGTTACATCTATGTCCCCATCTGCCGCAACATCAAACTACTTAATAGGCAGTTACGGTTCCAGGTCCTAGTGTTACTATTTCACAAAATCCAGCGCTCCAATTAACAGTTTGAGATTGAATTTTTTTCCATGAATTTATCCACAGTCTCATAACGACTTTAGTTTTGCCGCTGATAAAAACGCATCCATTACTGGCATGATTGTAGGGGCTGTAGGGTCGGCGGCCGGGCTAGGGCCTCGGTCTGATTTGCTATCAATGTCGCTCTCCGTGGACTGTTGCTGCTCTTGTTGGTGCCGTTGTTCTTTTTGCGCGATTTCACTGGCCTGGTTAGCCCTTAGCTCGCACGTTTCAGTTGCGACTTCTTGAAATGCCGCCCGCTCATGGCTTCTCTCATGTTTCTGCATAGCGCCTTTCTGGGTAAACGCCTTCCCACAGAAGCTGCACGCAAACGGCTTCTCGCCTGTATGCACTCGAATATGTCGAATGACGTTGGATGAGTTCGCTGAGACGTAACCGCATAGCGAGCATTGGAATGAGGAATCTGCCAGCCGGACAAGGAACTCGGATGTATTTCCAGCTGAGGTAACTGCCGGTGGTTGTGGCTGGGGCGCACGAAGCACGTGCCGGAACGATACGCGAATTAGGTCTGTAAGAAGTTAGCACAGAATTGGTATCGGTGAGATCGTCAAGTAAGCGATAAGGACTACTGTGCTCGCTGATACTACGGTATGGCTGATAACAGAAATTAATAATCGGCATGCTAACGAAAAAAAAACGCAATGGTACTCACATTTATCAATGCCGGATGTCAGATATTCATGCCATAGGATAAACTCAATTTTCCAACTGCACGGAGGTTAGAGAAACAAAAAATGCTCTAATAATGTATTATAATCGGGTATCCGATGGATGGGATCGAGCTAAATTTTGACAGATTTCGATGAAATGATGTAAATTCTGGCAACTGCATGCAGGCTACCTACTATTTATAAAGAACTACGAACGGATAGTATACTTATATATATATATATATATATATATATATACATATATATATGTGTTTATTAAGCATTCGTTGGGCAACCTCATTGGGTTAAATAAGTATAGGCGTCTGGATACCAATTAATTAACAGATTGGCGGTAAAGCCAGTCCATTGTAGACGATAAGATTATGCCGCTACCAGACGCTGGGCATTATGCACTGCAAAACCTCTCCATGTCTGTTATGTTTCTATATATTCATATCTGTGTGTAAACGCGCCACTATTTTCGCATAAACGTTAAGTCAAAAATGAGATCTTCTATACTAGGTAACACACATGAATGAAAGAAGATGATCATTCGTTTTTGTCGCTAAAAATTATGATCTATATATAGTTCTATATGAGCTTCTACTTCCCATTGAATACATTCCTTTTTTTCAGGTACTAATGCGTTTATGGTACGAACATAAAGTATTCGTCAATATTCTACCCATCGATTAGGGCTGCTAACGCGAACATACCCAACCGCTCACTTAATAGTTTTCCTGTGTTTCAAAGCGGTGCAGTTACGTTAGATCGAGCCATTTTGTAAGGAATATAGTTGATTCTAAATGAGATCAATTAAAAATATAGCAATCTAATTTGATTGCCGACCAATTCACGCACGGCTTATTGTTTGTGCATGTGTGTGTGTGTGTGGGGGGGGGGGGGATGGAATAACATAAACAATACAGAAAGTAGATTCCTGAGTTGAATTTTATAGAAATCAACAATTCATTAACTGAACCTAACAATAAATTGCGCGTGTGCATCTACTATCTAATGAACATTCCTGATTGTACAAATTAAATTCATACATAGGCTGAAAATTAGAAGGACCTGGTGAGTGCTCCTCACAAAACAGATTTTGTTTTTGCTGGTAAAATATTGGCCACACGTTAACAGCAATCGGCTCTAGCTCCACTGCATTACACTGACAATAATACTAGTAATAATAGAAAATGGTTATTAATTGAAAGTATACATTGTAAAAGAGGTAGCCTTTTTGACCTACATAACTGAGGACAAACTATCATGAAAATATCGTACGTTATGTTTAGATTCAAGTATATATAATAGTGTTTGTAATAGATATGAAGCGGACGTGACGTAATGTGAATATACTACGTCAGGATAGTAGTAGAGAGAATCCACTTGAATTTAGATGGGGCTCGGTACCCCTGGACAGGTTTTTCGGTGCACGTACAGAGCCGGGGTGGACGGGTAGCCTTGGCCACACTTTTCGCACTTAAACGGCCTTTCCTTGGTGTGAATTGCTCGTACATGATTCATCATAACGCTGCGTACGGTGAAGCCTTTACCACAAAATTCGCAAGCATAAGGCCGTTCACCGGTGTGCGTCCGCAGATGGGTCTTCATATTTCGGTTAGACTTGTAGTTACAGACGAGGCAACGGAACAACCCGTCAGGGTCACGCACAGACAAGTTGGCAAGGTCACGACACGGAGCGCGTTCTAAAAGCTGCAGGCTAGATGAATTCAATTCATCTGTGGTATTGTTGCTAGCGGTGCCGTTATTTGAATGGCTGGGAGAGGGACTAAGGGAGCTGCACGACTGTTGTGATGAGGGCACAATACTGAATAGATGGCTGAAGACAGCGTGAAGTTGTGCTCGATCAATGTCATCTTTGAGTCCAACATCTGAAGACGTCGAGGGAGGACGAGATGGAAGAGAAAAATATGAATAATACGCTATTATGGCAAATCGTGTAAAGCATATGTCGCTATATATATGTTGAATGCAAATACGAAATAATCTCCGAAATGTATGTCGCCTGACTGCAATACCTGCCCAGAGCTCTGAAAGTTGCTTAGTCCTTGCAAAGATATAATCGTCAGTCAAAGACAGTTGTTTACGTACGTTTCAAGTCGTTGCAAAAAGTTGCATTTTCGGTAGATAAGGAAAAAGGAAGTGGAATCCCCCGAAAATCGATCGAGTTGCGCATCATTGCACGCCGTACCAGATAGCAGTTCATATTAAAGAAGAACCGGGGCAAAATATAAAAGCGAAAAAAGAAGACGGAGGAATAATAGAAAAGCAGAAACGGGAGTGACAGATAAACCAAAACTGATCAAGCAATTCATTAATCAAAATAGTGTCAATACGAAATCAATGGCAACAGATTTATTTATTAGAAATATACATATATTTTCGAAGGGTATGTGGATGGGATTATTACTGATTAATGAAAGATAGCGAGCAGGCGTGCTCCGATAGTTCATTAGTTCTTTTTTGGATAGGCCATCTTGTTCGTTGCAGTGCGTGATCGTCCACACTGTCTATACCGAGACGAACAATTCAGGGATACGATTGAGTATACGGCAAGGCAGGCTAATCTTTCTGAAAGCAAACGAAATATTAGATAACTGCGCAAAGAGTTGAAGCGGTGTTTTTATTGCAAAATACGCGTTCATGGACGCGCACCGTCAGACAGTAACTCAATAAAACGAATAAAAACAAGCACAACTTTATTTCTTTAATAATAAATGATCTAAGTAAATTTATTGCCTTAACCTTACATTGTTCACATTAGATTTGTTCTTAATCCCGCTGTATAGTAAATATATAGTATATATCAATCAATATTGCGATTATTATACAGGCGGCATTTTGTCGACGGTGTAGTGTATTGTACACAGTATATCGTACTGACGTTCGTATCAGTTGGCTCGTTTACACATTGCGTCTTGTACATCATTGGCTATTGGCTTCATCAAATCGCCATTGACAAAAGTGTTGATTGTCCATATAAGTGTATAAATGTGTGTGTCTCGGTATATTACAATAAAAATGTGTCACGGCTGGCCAACAACATGTCAGCATTCAAAAGCCAAAAATATCAACAGTAAAATAATGCCCCCCCCCACCCTCCCCCCCGCGCCCCAACACCCCACCCGGGATCTCATCATTACGCGACAAAATCGATGCCTCTCTCAAAGTATCTTAGCAGTTTAGCTTCTCAGTATTTCCGTTTATTCGACTCGCTCAATAGTTTCTAGTAGCTAATGGTAAATAAATGTCCAGCTATGACTAATAACGAAAGATAAACAAAGAACGAAATTAGTATAATAATAATAATAATTAGCAATGCCCGCGTACGTTGTGCTTCTTGCATTTTTTCCTCTTCCCTTTCTCCTTGTGAATGAAGACATCAATCGAGTAGTAAGTCTGGCCGAACGCCTTACATGATATAGTGAAGCGACCAAATGATGACAACAACTAGATCCAAAAGCTCGTATACTCAATGAGAGAAATTGGCACTATTGAAGCAGTTAATGTGACCCTTTCTCTGATCACACTGAACCAACCCTGAATGGCACAAACATCTCGTTGCATCACGACCGTTACTCTAAATTAATACAAACTATTACTGTTATTGTTATTATTAGTCAAGAAAATTTTCTTCGCGGTAAAATCATGGCAAGAGGTAACCGTTGTCCTAAACTCGCATAGGATCTAATTAGCGCTCATTACTCAAACGACTTGGCATTTAAACACACGTAATTATACAGCTCCATCATAATCATTGTGGTTTCTACTACACAGTCGTCACGGGGAAAAACTACAGACAGACGTCGACGCTAGCGACAATGAATCTTTTTGAAAGATTTTACATATATATACTTCCTCTCTAATATTTCAGACATACACGCGTTGCATGTTTAGGCCTAGTCTCGTCAGTAAGTACCCCGATTGGTCACAGAGTCAAGAAGGTAATGATTTATCGTCCCTATCCATCCGAGTTGTTTGGCGTTCATATCATCGTGGGCGAGAAATCGAGCCCTCGACGCCATAGGCTACTACATAAACTGTAGCCAAATGTGTATACATTAGTGTGTATATGGTCGTGTGATTGCGTAGCAAGATGGGTCGGATTTGTTTTGTTCTTCTGTTAATTACTATAGCATAATGGCGTGACAATTGTATCCAAGAACTGTCATCCAAAATTAGCAACAAAGATTGGAAACAGCAGCAGCAGCAGCAGCAGCATTGAGCCAGTTAAGGCCATTTCTGCCGAGGTATCGGTTATTTGTCTACATAGATAAGCGTTGTCGAGGTCCAAAATGTAGAGAAAAAAGCCAAACCAGTCACGGGAATCAGGTATGCTTCAAGTATATCTTCTTAAATGCCAATCATTCGAATCGCCATTTTATATGCCAGCTTGTTTACATTGATACGCTTATGATAAATTGGGTCTCTGTAATCCCCTATTGTTGCTGTATTTAGGCACTCATTTGCCTCTTTCTCAAGTGATTAGTTGCCCCCTACTGTACATACAGGGTGTCACATGTATAGAGCTTAGTTCTATCAATATAAAGTACATACACATATATATGTATATATATATATATATATATATAAAGGTATTACATGTTTATGTATGTATATAATGAATATGCTCCGCTCAAATATCTCACCGGGATTTATCGGAATGCTTCTAAGGAAGTTTTAAGGGATATCGTCACGTACAAAAAAAAAGTTGTAGTTTTTGGGCAGGACTTTTTCGTGACGAAAATAGTAAATATGTCCGTTCGTATCGTTGTGTTGCGCCTATGCATCACTGACCTGCGCCGTTTTCACTGGCGGTGCCAAATACAAGTTACCTAGTTCTAAGCACGAGCAGAACATGGGCGTACTCGTTCGTTATTACTTCCAGGTACTGCGGTTAGCAAAGCCAACTTGAATGAACGCGTAGTTAATTGGCACCGTTACAACACAGGTAGCACGATTATTTACTCGATTTTCTAGCATTTGTCAAGAAAATTATTATAACTTACTCACCTCTAGGCCAAATAGCTAATTCATTTTAATTATTTAAGTGAGCTTTATCTTTTAAAGGCCGCTACAGTCTCAAAACTAATGTCATTAATTTCTTTGTATCGCTTTCTCACTGCATTTATTTCGGTGGATTCCCGTTTTAAGTAGTATTTTTAAGAATGAGATCCCTGACCATTGTTAAATTTCCTGTCGAAATTAATGTAAAACATGTACATCTGCAAGGGCACAATTTTTCCTTCATTTTTTTCATACATCATACAGAACGCGTTAGCACAAATTGGCCATATCCAAATAATTACCACAACCATTTTAGATTCAAATCAGGCGACAAAAGCTTCTGATTTTGATTAGTTCGATCATGATAACTTGAATGATTCGATGAAAAATGTCGGTAAGCTCCGTATCATTTTTTTTTCCTATTCCTAAACATTCTATCCACTAACATCTAATAAATAAGCGTACACCAATCTCCAGAGTAAATTATGTTTACATTCATAATGAACAGGGACATTTTTGAAATGTCTCTGGTTATAAAACATCCACTTACGTAAGCATTCAGACAATAAACAAACGTCTCTTTTTATATAACTATAAAAAAAAAAAAATGAATAATTGTTGGGAGCGTCAACGGGTAATATCTTGACAACAATAATAATAATAGAAAAGTAATTATGTACTAGCTACTGCGTCCTACGACGTGTCGTCTTGCCTTGGCATTAACGTTTTATTTTTTGCTTGCGGTCCTAAAATTGATCATATATGTGAAAGTAATAGATATGGTCATGCGTAATTTTCTGCATTGTGATTCGTTCGCCTAGTAGACTTGGGAACAGCTGAAGTATTCTGACCCTAAAACCAGGTGTGTACATACTACTTTTCGCGTTGGAACGGATTAACCGTTTGAAGCAATGCTAAACTAAGGCAGTACCGGACGTAAAGCTCGAAACATTTCCTTTATTCTGCTTATGCCTACATCAAGCTTTAATTAATTTTGTTTTTTTTTTTGTTATTTTTTGTAAAAATCGCCACGTTTCAGTAATCTCAAACTACTAGCCGAGAGTTAATATTGACTGTTGGTGTGGGCTCATGCGAACGCTAATCTAACAAAAAAAAAAAAATGGTAAATACATTTCAATGTGGTCACCGTTCATAGCTGAATGTCGGTTAACTATACAGACACAGATATTGGATTAGTAGAAAAACACTCCCAACATGCGAACCACACACAGATTTCGAATATCTACATGAATATAGATACAATACAATGCATTACATCAAAAAAAAAAGTATACGAGTAGATGTTAATCGCAATCATAATAAATAATAATAGTAAGTTGGAATAATAAATGGTAAAACACGGCTTAAGCAGCGATAGTGTATATGCAAAGTAAAGCAAAACCCTCTTGAAAGTTTGAAAAATGTTCCTCGTACGTTGGTTAAAGTACTCACAAGGTAAAATTCAGTTGGTTCTTAGACTTTCAAGTGACTTTCGCTGTACTCTGTATATATTTATACATATATATATATATATATATATATATATATATATATATGTATAAGGCATGGCCTGGAATGTTGACCTTCGACTCTTACCTCTCATGTGTCCATTAGTTGACCACTATTCGTATCGTAAATATGATACAACATACTGATAAATTTAATTCAGCCTTTACCAATAGGTCTACTGCTGCTGGTGCCATTAGGATGAAGCCGATTGGCACCCTGAAATGGCATTTTTACTTGTTTGTTTAATACGGTGTCACACTTGCTCACTGACAACAAAGCGAACATTTCACAGCACCTTCGCTCGTTTGTGATACCGTCTCGACCGAACCTCGATATGAGCCGATCTTTTCACCGGAAAGCATTACAAGTACCTTCAAAGAGTTCAATGATCGTATTAAAAAAAATTATACGATAATCTTATCATGATCAACGATGTGCCTCATGCTGCCTTGTTTTCTTGGTAAATAGAAACTTCGTTGTGCTTAGAAACGTCACGTGAAAAATAAAACAACAACAATAATAATAATAATAAAAAGGGTAACAACGATAAAAATAATAAGCAAACTCGGAACTGCCGCGTTGGAAGACATGTGCTTCGTGCACGTATCTTAGCAACAATCATTGAATTTCAATATAAGTCCTAATATAATGTTGTCGTAAAAGTCAAACTATAGCGTTGCCTTGATTAGATTCCTCATCGGGGTCTTCATTTGCTAGGGGTTTTCGGAAACGAGGCCGTGTCGCATGCGGCAGGTTTTTCTATGGACAGCGAGTGCCGCGGACGATGAATAACTCTTGGGACAGAGATTGCAGTTGTACGGCTTTTCCAGCGTGTGCCGAGATCGTACATGATTATCCCGACATTCGCGCTTGTTAAAGCAGCGTCCACACAACTCGCATTGGTAGGGCTTGACCCCAGTATGAGTACGTACATGCTCCCGACAACGAGACCTTGATGATGTCTTGTGTTCACAAAACGTGCATCGAAATCTGCAATAAGGAATCGAAGGTAAACGGGTTAGTTTACCGTTCTTAATTAGAGACTACTATCGAGTAACTGAATCAACATTTGATGGCAGCCTCTGATGAAACACAAGCCATTAGGGATATAAACACAGAACTGACATCAAACACTGCTCCATCAATCAAACATGACACTCAGTAATATCCCGTTATCGACCATCGGAGTCGACCCGAGGCGCTAATAATTCGTTAACAGTACATTATAGTGGCAATTTTGTAGTACTTCCTTAGGTCTATCTGCGTCAAGTATGTTCATAACATGATTGCTCCGTACCATGGTGATCTCGGCGACCATTTTCTCAAATAAAGGCTGGGGATCTGTGTAGTGGTTTTGGTTTACCTTTCATCAGCATCGCGTACGATAAACTCATCCTCGGGGAAAATTTTCTGCGTGTCGTTATCGTGTCGAAACGATCTCCCAAAAACTTGCAAACCACCGCTTGCAATAGGCACATCCATGTGTAGTTGTCCATCGACCTGACTGAATTTCCCGCCTGAGCCTCCAGAAGCGCTGTTTTTGTTGTTGTTGTTGTTATTCTGTTCCATAAGTCGTGACAGGTCACTGTACAGGTCGGAAGGTAGGAGCATTTCGTTTGCTCCTAATAATTCGTATACGTCAGAAGAGGAACATATATTCTGGTGTATATATATATTTCATACAAAACTCAAACAAAACGATAGCTGAACATAGTTTCAATAAAAAATCTTACGGCTTTAAAATAATCAATCAGACGCTCTACGCTGTACCACGTCCTTCTGGCAAATACCATCAGTGTTAGTTTTACAGAACGTGCATAGGCGAACATTCGAATCGCAAAACAAGAACGCAGCAAAAACGTACGAAAACATAAAGGACAGTATAATTAATTTATTATATTCAAATAAAATTAGTAGAAAGTAAGTAAAGCAGGCGAAACATAAGGCAATAACGGCAACGATTCTTAGTCGAATGCAGTGAGTCGAATCTGAAAGAAAAATAAGAAAATTAGTAGAATTCGTGATAATTACTATTACTTCACTTACAATGTCTTCAATGTAGACATGAATTCCAACCCGTATATGTATTTGTCGTAACAACAATGGAACCGATACAACGACTTCATCTTAAGACAAGTAACGTTTATTATAATTAGTCCGTATCAATTTATCTTCAGTGAATCGCCTCGTAGTCGTCATTGCTTAATTATTAGCTTACTAAACATCTAACTCTGCTGACGACGACAGAACCTAAGTAAAAGTGATATGGCTTTCTCATTGACGAGATGTCCCTATAGGCAACGGTAGTCGTGAAACTGGCTCTTCTCACGAACTATCACCCTTTAATAAGACGTACAAATCTATGATTTACTTTTTTTCGATATATTAATTGGAGAGCATCGTTCACTTTTGCTCGTCGCCTTATTCTATAGGGTCTCAAATATGTACGACCTACATACGTCATCGGTATTACTGGTCTTGCGGAAAACTTCTCACGCTCTGAGAATAATCCGAATCCACTAAGTCGATAATTACCAGGTAGATCATCAGCTTTTTTGTGAGGCGAATGAGTGTATGTATCCACATAAACAACCAAGTTACTCAATGAGTCAATGTAAATTAGGGTAGAATTCAACGTTATTCAAGGTCTATCGGCAATTTGATCGATATGAATCTGAGCAGTGTTTAAAGCGCTACATGTGCAGCTTACGCGCTTTCAATTAAGAGGAATTAATTAATCGAAAAAAGATTATGTTTTGCTCGCTCCTTTGGAGTCGCACGGGAGATCTTCCGAAATCCAGAAAAAACGTTTCGAGTTCCACGTTCAGCTCTGCGTTAGTTAATTATCAGATCGGACAGCTGGCCTCTGCCAGTACTAACTAAACCGTGTCTACGTTCAGTTTCAAACTCAACCACCACGGGCGCCTAAACTTAGGACGAAGGCATGTTGCCACTGCGCTGTCGCAAGGACAGGTCTTCCTATTTCCTCATGTATTGTTTTCGCATAGCAACAGCCTAAGTCCAGGGCTGACAGCTGGTTGAAACCATTAACGCAATGGTCAGAGATGCTCAACGCTTGAGGTCCATGGACGAAGCCTTTTGTGCAGGCGGTACAGATCAGGCCCGGATGGTGAAATCAATGCTTCTTTCATCTATTTACTTTATTATTGCTGGCGCGGTCACCAGAAAACTCTCGGACTGAACCGCTTACAGCAACCGCGCCTAACTACCCCTTTTCGTGATCGATTCCTTGAATATATTTGTCGGAGACAAGTAATTCTCCAAAAAAAAATCAGATCCCACATTATGGCGGGGAGTCAGATTGTACGATACACTTGAATAATTGTAAATGACAGTAATCTGTAGATACCATTCAACTCCATTAGCGACAGGCCATTAGTGACTTGACATAAGATAAAGCTTCGACAAATGGTAGCCGTCTAGAAAAAGGAGCTAATCCTGAAAAATGCCAAAATCGACGCCCGGTTTGAGGAAAACATAGACACATTCGAGCAAGTCGTCTTTTTGGTGCTAGCTAACTGCATGGTAATAAGTATAATCATAAGCATGTGACCATGTTTTATTATAAATGTACACGGTTTGTGCTGTTACCATTATCCAGATTGTAACCGAATCACTCGAATGGCCCTTTGGCCCTTGATCACCAGTGATCGGCTTAAGGCGTTGAGGTTGACTCTATCGGAAACGGAATGAAGCTCAAGTGACACGCTGGAGATTAGTTCCTCAGATCCTGTGATGGGAAGAACTGCATTAATTTCAGATCGTCTCAGCTAAAGGTAAGCTCACAGAGGGAACTACAGACACCATATTGGTACAGCAGTGAGATAGTCACTGGTAGAACTACGGATGCAGGCAGGCAGAAAAATGAAATATCCAGGAATTGTAGCAGAATATAATCGTTCTTAATTGATTTATTTATAAAACCAGTTAGCAAAATATTCGGCACAACTCTATCCTCGACCTTCCTATGAATGTCACACTACAGAATCATTGCATCAACAGCAGTTGAATATAAGTTAATTATGGTGCTTTCATATATGTGTGTGTGTGTGTGTATGTATATATATATATACACATATATATAAATATATATATATATATATATATTTAACACTTGGCTCATTAGGATTATTCTATGTGAAGTGTGGATCAGCCCAAAGAACAATTGCACATGTCCAAGTCGAATATAACAGGGAGTCATAACTGTTATCAAGTTAATATAAACTTGTTGAAAAAGAAACGCAGTAATGAATGTTGATCCATATATGCTTGGTTGTCTTCATCCAATAAATTCTCATTTGTAGGCAAATAAAAACAAACATCTCAAAACCCGTGCTACATAGAAACGACAGAAAACTATTTTTGGCCTTGAGCATACACACAGTGGTTAAGTTGAACTTGAAATGGGTTCTGAATAAGCGCTATATCCAATATCAGCGTTGAGTAACAATAGGTACATTGATCTACAACGAATCTATGTCGACTGTTACCAATAGCATTTGCTGCTATAGAAAAATCTCTAGTTCCATAGTTCTCTAGTTCTCTAGATTCCAGTTCAGTCCTAATCGATTTCAACGGCACCTCAAAATTTCTGCTTCTGAAACCGGCAACACTGCACAGAGTGGCTGTTTGACAGAATTGTTTCGGTTATTTTTATTGTGCGAAAACCAGAATCCAACCAGGCTTACCTAACCTTAAATTCACTTACATCGATTTGCAGTGTACGGGTACTAACCGTACTAAAATACAATATCTGTCCAGGCAACTTGTTCCAATGTATCCTTCCATTACATATAACAGAGTTTAAATAAGGGACGATAATATCTTGTCAGCCGAGAATGAAAATAAGGAAAACTAAAATGAAAATTAATAATAAAATTTGCTTTTTTTTTTTGCACACCCTAGCGTGACAACAGTTATCGCTGTTGAGTGCTCTGTGAACTGCCCCCTCCTGTCTGATTTACGTACCGTGTCGCAGTCGTTATGCGACCAAAAGCGATCCTGAGCTACAGTAAGACGACCGGATATAAAGCGGCAGAATGTCCCTCCATATTGCTTTGTCTTTTCCCAATTTGATATATATATATATATCAACACATCTGCGTCCCATAATAGAAAGGTCTACTTGACATTATATATATGTACCCACAACATATACCCACTACACACATTTCTCTATGTATTTTGTATGGATTTATATAAAAATACTGCAGCAAGATATTATTCATTGGTTATCGAGACGTTCACGTATAGCGAATACGTCAACTCGCAAACGTCTATGCGTTGCGACCTAATGCGTTGGATCTATGGCAGCTTGGCAACACGTGAGTTGACAGAGACCATTAATTTGATGTATGTTTAATATGTACATATAATGGCCTCTTAAGGTTCTTGGTTACGCATCCATATGACAAGTGTTCTGCTTACATGATGGGGCCAATAACAATGTTAATGGACACAAGTACAAACAGCATCTCGTGTTTTTGATATTATCCTTTTTAACAGCAAACCTAATGCACGCCCACCGCACTATTCAACGACCCATTGGACCAACCAAAGATGTCAACAGTATTCGAAAGGCTCTCTGTTCTAAGTAAGACATTCGTACTCGTTAGTGGGCCTTATTTCAAGCTGTCGTGGAGGAAAATTAATTGCACAGCAATGCTTTTTGATTAGTGATGCCGTCAAACTGATAGCTTAATAATAGACCAACTTTAAACACAATCCGGAATCTTTCTATACACAGCCATAGGAGAAGCAATGGAACGGTCGGAGTTCATTCATTGCATTGTTAAATTAAACAGACAAGATGCGTTTATGAGTAATTGCCCTGCCAAAGTGACTGGGGCAAGCTAAACAAGAGCGAACTCCATATCCGATTTGTTCGTAAGTCTGGACTTATCTTAATCAGTTATGTCATGATTATTACGTCATGCTGTTTTTTTTCCCATTGTGTGTTTATTTTAAAGTCCTAAAGCAGCATTGGAGTATTCTAATTTGATTAAAGAGTCCATCGTGGGAGGATCGATAGGTTCATTGGTAATGATTTCCGCTGCACTGGTTCGCATCAGATGTGTTGGCGTACGTTGATGTTGCTGGAACGCTGAGCTCGTGGCGAAACTTTTGTCACAAAGGCCACACGAAAACGGCCGTTCCGTGGCATGACGGCCTTTCATATGTTTCGACAAATGGTCCTTGCGCCCAAAAGACTAGTCAACGTTCAAAACGCACAAAATTCACACAGAACACAAAAGTAAATCATCTGCGACAGTTCGATCTAGTGATATCGGTAATGCATTCTCGTTGTTAGAAAAAGCAACTTGCATAGACAATAGAGGACGATCGTGCGCTAAAGCACCTAACTTCATTGGCCCTGCCTGATTCCAAAGGACCAGTTGTTCATACGGTCCTAAAGTCTGAGTCACATGTCGATGAACGATCTCTAATTTAGCAGTGCACTTCGAAAGATGCTGTTTTTAGTTTAGTAACGAAATATTATCATTGTCGCATGCGCGGAACGAACCGTTTAGTTTTATTGACTGCGAGAAGATCGTCCGCAGGTCGATTTTCATCGCTTACGCCTATATACA